GTTACTGGGTCTGGCTGACTAGTGCAGACTTGGTCCTTCCAATTTGTTGCGGTCCAGGGAATATTTAATTGAACACTAATTTCCCAGAAGTTGATACTCCCTCCTTGCGTAGAGGATTTTAAAGACCAGGATTGTACTTGGTTATCTTCCTTGAGATCTGATGGGGGAGCATTTTTTACCAACCAGCTATGACCAAAAGCACCTCTGTATTCACACCCTACATGGCTATTGTAATAATTTGTGCAAAATATGCCTTGTGAGGTATCATTTGAAACTAATAACTCACTGGTCAATAGTATCATAGTGAAATGTATGTAGCAACATTATATGTAATACTATGAAATCCCCCAGTATGATGTTGTTAGCATATATCTAAAACCACACAGCCCTGCCTATGCAGAATCTGTTAAACGGGTCTATCCTAAAACAAAGGAGTGTTTCTTTACCCCAATTTAAATATAAGTAGTAAACCAGGTCCTCAGACAGCAGGGGGAGGAGATGGCAGGAGAGACAGCAAACACAGGTGGGGAAGAAAAGGCCTGGAGCCTTCCCTTCACCACCAGACTCCATGTCAACTTCTTTACTGCTTGAATAAACCTAACTTTGAATGGTAAACCCCCAAGGTTCACTAGACTATAAAAGAAAGGGGCAGAACCCCAAGTTTTCTCTTTCACTTAAGAAGACAATGGCACCAGCACCTTGGGGTCTCTGGGAGAGATCCTGACCAAGGAAAGGGTCAGTCATCATCTTGCAGGAACACTGTGGGTGAGAAAGGTCATCTTAAACAGAGCCTTGAACCAGAATTTGCTTGATTACGTTTTAGACTTTTAGATGCATTTTCAGTTTTATCTGCTTGTAACCATTTCTACCTTTCTCTATGTGATTTCACTTAAAATCCAATCTTCTTTGGTAATAAACTCGTTTTATTTTTAATCTAAACCAATCCAGAGCTGTGTTTAAACTGAACTGTTTTAACTCCAGTTAAAGTAGCAAACTTGAATAGTGACTCCATACAGGGGCAACAGATCTTAATATCTGAACTGTCCAGGAGAAGGCTGGGCGGTGTAGAACACGTTTTTGAGAAAACTCGGTACTGCGTTGGGGTCCCTCTACCAATGGTAACCAAGGCTGCTTGGCTAGAGTGTTGCTGACAGGCTGCTGGGGTCAGAGATGCTGGACCAAGGCGGCAGCTATACAAAGACACTCAGGCTAGGTCTACACTACCCGCCTGAATCGGCGGGTAGAAATCGACCTCTCGGGGATCGATTTATCGCATCCCGTCGGGACGCGACAATCGATCCCCGAATCAACGCTCTTACTCCACCAGCGGAGGTGGGAGTAAGCGCTGTCGACAAGAAGTCGTAGAGGTCGATTTTGCCACCGTCCTCACAGCGGGGTAAGTCGGCTGCGATACGTCGAATTCAGCTACGCTATTCACGTAGCTGAATTTGCGTATCTTAAATTGACTCCCCACTGTAGTGTAGATGTAGCCTCAGGGTCTGACCTGCATGTGTTTTGGCTGGTTGTGAGTGGCCCAGGTTGGGAGCTACAGCAGCAAAGCTTTCTGAGGCACCCAGGTTTGTGAGGCAGATGGTGACAGCCCCCTCGCTGGTCTGGATTGCACCCCACAATCTGACACCCGCATCCAGTTTTGCCTTCTGTTTTATCCTGTGGTGGCACAGAGAGATTTCAGGCAACAGCATTTTCACTGCAGAGGCTCAGGTGCAATATGTATCATATTGAAAAAAATAGGTCAGTGAATTCAAGCTTTCTCTTCCACTGGTGGCTGTTATTCCTGTGAACTTTCCAACTCTTATTACGGAGCAAAGCCTCATAGTTCCATGCTGCATGTAAAAACAACGATCCTTGTCTCCATTCTACAGATAAGGTAACTAAACAGTTGCTCTCAGTCATCACTGTTAGAACTAGGAACAGAACCCAGATCTCTGATCGGGGAGACCAGAGCTCACCCACATTGCGTTTTGTACTGACTGTGCTAAAGCAGTCTGTGTGGCTAGCCTACGTGTAACCATTGTTTTAGCCCCCAATAAATATTTCCATCCCAGAGCCAGGAATAGAACCCAGGAATCCTGCGTCCCAACATTCTACTCCTGTCTAGCCAATAGCTGTATAACTCATTGCAAAAATGTGTTAGGCTCCTGCTGCTAAAGGGCTGAACGGTGGCTCTGGAAGGCCCATGTTTAATCCTTGATATTGACCTATGGGGGGAGAAAGTGCGCACCACTGTTCCACATGATGAAATTTCTGTTTCCCAGTTTAGTTAAGGCTGCAGCTCCATTTCTGTTTAAAACCAACATTTTGCATCTTCTCTTAAAATCTACCAGGTCAGATTGGCCTGAAAATTGGCTGCTCGGCAGCCGGACGCACAGACTTCCCAGCTCTGCTGAATTCTGTGGCATGTTCCACATTTTTGCTGATTCAGGCTTCCTGTCACCCTGGCCCACAGCGGTAGGCAATGTTCTACAGCTGAGAAAGAGAGCACCACCCCCTCAATGGATAAATAGGATGACCTGGATAATTATAGGTTTGGCAGCTGACAGTGATGCCAGCACAATAATGGAATGACTGATATGGAACTCCATTAATTAAAGGAGGGCAATATAATTAATGCTAATCAACATGGGTTTATGGAAAACAGATCCTGGCACACTAACTTGATAGCTTTTTATGATGAGATTACAAGTCTGGTTGATAAAAGTCATAGTATTGATGTAATATATATAGTCTTCCCTAAAGCATTCGACTTGGTATGGCACAACATTTTGATTAAGAAACTGGAAAGATACAAAATCAACACGGTACATGTTTAAAATAACTGCTTAACTGAAAAATACTAGCTGGACATTTACAGTCAATGTTCTCAGCTTACATAAATCAGGATTCATTAAGGATAAACAAATGGCAGACAATATTCAGATAGTACTTAAAATCATCCCCAGCCCTACATTTCTATGGTTCTATAATGCCAGATTTAAAAAAAAATAAATCAATTTCTCATTATCGCTAGATGAAGTGAAAGCCTTTGAGGGGAACTTTCTGTTTCATGTCCTGTCCCATACAGACTTTGGCCTCAAGTTCATTAAATAGATATCTACTCTTTACACTAGTCCAAAAGCCACTGTGCCAGTTAATGGGGTGAACTCTCCCCTTTTGAATTACACAGAGGGACTAGGCAGGGATATCCATTGTTTCCTTTACTTTTTCACTGGCCGTGGAGCCTTTTGCACAGAGGATAAGGAACAATGGATTCGTAACAGGAACAGAACTTTCAGGAACAAATCAGAAAATGGCATTGTATGCACATGATGTAATATTTTTTATCTAAACCAAATATTTCCCTAAATTAATTTCCAAAATAATCTAGGATTTTGGGAAAGCATCTGGGTTTAAAGTAAATTGTGTCAAATCTGAGATGCTAACTATAAAATTTCCAGACACTGAAAAGTCACTCCCCCAGGAAACATTTGGGTACAAATGGGCAACAAATTCTATAAGATACTTGGGAATTCAAATTTCAACTTACAGGAGCTCTATGATTTAAATGTCAAACCTCTACTTCAGCTCCTGAAAAAAGATCTGAGGGGCTAGGGGAAGTATGCAATTTATTGGTTGGGAAGAGTAGCCACAGTCAAACTGAATATTCTGCCAAGATATCTTTATAGTTTTAAAATTTTTCTTTGATTGTTCCAGATAAAACACTAGCAGGAATACAGAGGATGTAATTAGAATTCATATAGAATAAGGAGAGAGTGAGAATAGTTTATACAGAACCATTCCACAGGGTAGAATGGCTGTTCCAAATAATCTATGGGACTATTAAGACAGCCAGTTCAAGCAGTAGTGAATTGGGGGTGCTCTAACCCCACCAACACTGGGTTTTTATTGAATAAAAGAATTGCAGTAGTGTAAACATCGCTAGCTACCATGGATTAATTAAAAAAAAAATCACACCCTCCAGAAATTACACACATCCTTTAGTGAAGGCTACTCTATGGGCTTGGGGATAGCACTAGAGATAAGCTAAACTCTCTTTCCTCACCAATGACCCCCATTGCAAATAATCCAGAACTTTATCCAAATTGCAAACTAGAGAGCTTCAAAAACTGGGAGAGCCAAGGAATACACACAGTTGACGAGCTATTCGGTAAAGAAACTTCTAACTTATTTAAGGATCAAAATTAATGTTAACTGGCCCACTTTCCCCTGGTACCAGTACTTTCAAGTCTGGCATTGTGTTTCTCAACTTTCTAGACAACCTGTTTTATACAGAAAGCTAATTTTAATAGAAGCAATGGCATCCAGTCAATTAGGAAGCAAAAAAATTATAACATCAATTGTTGCAGACAGCTTTCCTAACAAACAAGTGTCCCTGTATGACACACCGGGAAAAGGATATGGATAGCCAATTTGCCCCAGAGGTATGTGATTTGATGCGGAAAGAGGACCAGAAACCTCCGTGTATAGCACAATAAAATAAAATTTCCTTAAGATGCTGTTTCAATGGTACCTCACACCAGTCAGATGGAAAAAAAAAAAGATTGAATGGGGATAAATGAAGAAATTGTGGTGAAAGAGGAGTTATGCTTATGTGGTGGCCATGTCTGGTCATTTGAGGGTATTGGGATGCAAGCTGTAACCAAATGTCACAAATTGCTGGATATTTATTACCAAACGATCCCTTGGTAATCCTCCTGGGGCTTCCTTGTGGAAAGGGTCACACAAAAGGAAATTAATTCATCTCTCTTCTGCTAATAGCTCTCGGCTGTTAGCTTCTCACTGGAAAAAGAATAGCCCAACCATAGAGAACTTGTTTAAAAAAAAAAAAAAGGGAAATTGTGGTTATGGAAAAATTAACACACAAATTACCCAGCAAAATAAACAGATAATTAGATATTTGGTTACCTTTTATTCAATACTCAAAGTACATTCACCTGCAAAAAAAAAAAAAGTACACCTGTCCAAGAATCCAGCCTGAAATATTCTATTTAACAAAATGCTTTATTTACACTGGAACTTTTTTTTTTTGAAAGTTGTACATCCTGAATATCAGAAACTTCTGTAGAAGTGCCAGCAGCACAGATATGGCCTGCAGGAAAAGCCTGGGGCAGCTGCAGTGATGGGTAACGAGGGACCAGTGACTACCTGGAAGTGGGAGGAGAAAGGAGATCAGTAATAGTAACAGCCACGTCAGAGTGCACAGGATCCTCTGACTAACTGATCCCCAAGAAGAACAGCTGAAGGGATGGAACAAACAGCTAAGAAATTCGGCACTCGTGCTCTGGGTTACATCGCTGTGCAGTGGGACTCAGCTGAGCCACAGTGTCTGTAGCTGTATGTCAGCTAGTCCC